AAACATATATTATACTTCATCATCAGCACCAGCTGGATCCAGAATTTAGTTTGTTTTTAGGAATATCTCTATATTTCTATGAAATAAAAAACACTGTTATCACTTTATAAGACAAACTTCTATTATTTGTTACACAAGCTGGCTTTATCAGGTGCAGTGAAGCGGACCCGATGAAGTCAGAGTAGCCTATGCTGGTGAAGGCTTGTGTAATAAATAATTGAAATTAGTCTATAAAGTGTTTCTATTTCATACTGTATTTCTGGGATGCTGTGTATTAGAGACAAGAACTCAATCTTGGTTTGCATTTCCTTCATGATTTCTGTATTCTCCATTGATAAGTTCTTTTCAAGTTGCTTTCATATTGTGTGATGATGTTTCTGAAGGGTTGATCTTGAATCTTTAAAATGTTAAAGTTTTATGAATCTATTGAACTGTTTTACCTGTGTTGACATTTTCAGAAGAGAAATGTAGCGATTTTTACCACCCTGTGGAAGGTAGTGATCTGTTGAACCTGCTATGCTCAGATGCCGAAATGTGTATTTGTGCAACAGGTATGATAAACGACTTGGTTGGCCTGTTTACATAAAGACTTTAGCAAAGAGTTACAACTGTGTTCAAACATTATATCATACTTATTAAAAATTATTTTAATAAAAGTATTAAAAAAAATGTGACCCAAGCTCACAAACGGGCTGAAAACTCGTCCTCAGACCAAAATGAGTTTTTGTTATAATGGTATAGAACATATCATTTACTTTAAAATGACAGTTAAATGAACTCAATCGGGTGTCTGGAAGCAAAGTTATGACCGTTTGAATAATTGTCATCTTGATCAACTTTTTTTAAATCAAGTTTTGAGAAAAATGCTTTTATTTTCGGCAAGTTTCTATTCATTTTTCATTAACTCCCATCTGAAATTGGCTAAATTTTACCTCTTACAGTTGGAATTTTGAACTCAAACTTCAGGAATAGTAAGATTAATAGTTATACTTTATTTATGACACAAAAACACAATTCACACAAAATTCACCCTATTCTGGGTATTAAGGCTTGTTTCTCAATACAGTGCAGTGCGAGTTTACAGCCCGTTTGTGAGCTTGAGTCACAAATATGTACTGATTTTAACCATGGACAGAATAGAGCACATTGATCGACAAGTTTCATAGAGCAGTAACAGTTTAATTATATCGGCTGCTTTCCTTGCGTTTCAGTTAGAGCTGGGTTGAAATGTAAGTTTCAGTAGCGCAGCGTTTTTCGGATGAGATGTTTAAGTCGTTGGTTTTGTTTTGCGATATGGTCCTAGTTATATTTCTCATTGTAGAATCCAATTCCAATAATCCAATCCACTGTAGTACTGTATCAGACTTTTACCGGAAACCCAAATTTTTATAGAAGTAGTGTATGTGACCTTGCATAAATACATGCTTCTGAAGTCGGGCAGCACACTTACTGATGGTCGTATGACCGTCGGCAGCCAACAAACTCCATTTGAGCGATTAAAGGCGCGATGCCGTTTGCTGATTGTCGGTGGTAGTTCAAATAAAACAATTCATTGCGCGTGCCTCGTGGCGTTGCATTCTTCGTAGTAGTTCATAAGTAGCGATGTTTTTATCCCAGCTTCAGTCTCATTCTACTGATGGCATAATTAGTGTCCTAATACAGTACTCAAGTTCATAACTTAAATGTTGGGTCTTAGAATGGAAATTATTAGGCGGTCTAGTCTCCTTCAGGTCCCTTCTGTTCTTCTATAATGATGCATTATATTTAGTTTTTTTGTTTTATATTCCTCAGGAAACTGCGCCTTGTGCAATTCAAAGAAGACTAAGAGCCAATTGAAAACAGATGCTTGTTCTCAAAATATAGATTATGGTGCGGTCAATATTTTATTATGTTACATAGGCCTACTCTACAAAATTGCATACATGTTTAGACAACAGTTTAGTCTGGTCATTCCTAATATTCTTCTATTTCTGTATAAAATGTAGCTTTCTTTCCTATGATTATAGCAGCACATCATTGATTATATTTGATTATATTTCTCAATGTCTTAGTTAATCAGTACAGTACACATTTGCATTTGTTTTACAAGGCGAGTCGAATGGCCGAGCAGTTAAGTCAGGGGCGCCTGCAACCTCAGTTATAAAATATCGGCGCAGGTTTGAACTGACGCTTGTCTATGGTTGGGTTCCGGTGATTGAACAAGTCTACTCGGACAAGGACTATAATTTGTAAGCCCAGTGTACACAATGGCTCATGTGCACTATAAAGAACCCCCATCACCCGAGACGAGCAGGGGAATACCCCGGTGTACTTGTACAGACAGCCCCTGTGGTGAATGATGAGAGTTGCTGGTACCGTGTTACCGGGTAGCACAGACACGAAAGGACCCTTAGGGGCGAAGAAATTAATTGATCGAGCTGCTAGTCCACATATCAAGTGCCATGAACAGCTTCTTTGATGGATACCGGCGCTATACAAATCTAAACTATTATTATTATTACTAAATAATCAATAATCATAATCATATTTAATCATATGTAATTGCTTAAAATAATGGTAGATAATTTGAGATTTAATACTAATATTGAATTTTACTTACCTGCGAAAATGATTTTTTTAAAGTAATTAATGGCTTATATTTATTCATTTCCATTAGCTTTTGAAGTGAGTGTCATCAGCGCTTCAGACACGAATGCGTTTAATGTTTACAATTGCTCTGTAGAAGTGATCAAACCTGGTAAGCTGATTATGAACGTTGTTTGGTTCTAAACCAATACACTTGAGACATTTGAAAATACACATAAATAAACAACATGCCTTATGGATTTTTTGATGTGAAAATACTTAACTCCAACATAATAATGCATCATTTAAATTAAGACGCTACTAATTTGCTACTATATTTATAGGTATTGACGACATCCAAGGAAACATTGATATCAAAGGAATTGCTTACAGGACTTTTTGGAAGTCTAAAAAGTGTAGATGCCCAGAGATTCAAGCTGGCAAGAAATACCTAATAATGGGAGTTGATGGATTAAAAACCACCGATAAAGACGGTTTCACAGTGTAAGTTTTTGAAACATCATAGGCCTAAATTATGTTATCAGTGGTGGAAT